GGGTTTTGGATGTGTGTTTGATGTCTGTTAGTTTGATATTAGGGTAAACTGAGTCCGAACTGTTGCTTCCGTAATAAATCGAAGTTTTCTTTAAGTTTTCTTCGATGTTGATTTGATTTCGAGAAAATATAGTCTATTGGATCTTGGATTAGTAATAACAGTTATTTATCTTTATTTTTTTACTAACTACTAATATAATATTAATATTCTTTAAATCTCATGTCTAATACAATGAGACTATACTTTTGAGACGAAGATAGTATTATTTTTTTTTAATTTCTTCAAAACTTCAAAATGCCTCCATTCAATATAAATTTGGTGGAGTACAATTTAGTTGATGATGGAGCTCACCCAACGCACCACCTAACTCCATTGAAGACCTGTGCAAGTGCAACTAATCAGAATGGAGGGTCTTTTTTTCCTTTATGTACTCTCTGTCCTTTCTTATGTTGCTATTATTTTGCCTTTCCTACGTGATTTGAAACTCACTGCACATTTCCCTCTTCTTTTTAAATATGTACTTTGTCCTTTCCTATGTTATTGTTTCGCCTTTATTATGTTATAATGTACACATTTTCGTATAATTTGTTCATATTTTTTTATTTTTATTTGTCTCATTTTTACATAATTTGTTTTTTTTTTTTAAAAAATATAATTATACACTTTAATCACATTTTAAATTTTATACTCCCTTCGTCCCATAAATATAGTCTTAACCGGGTTGGACACGAGATTTAAGGAATATTGATATTATATCAGTAGTGGATAAAAAATATGGATAAAAGACTCTTTTATCCTTGTGAGTTGTATTAGTGTAAAAAGTAGTAACAATTGTGTAATAAAAATGAAAAAGTAGGGGTAGTTTTATGGTGATATGATTATTTATGAAAATAAAACTATTGTTTTGGTACGGACAAAAATGGTAAACAAGACTATTATATTGAGACCGGGGAGTAATTTTCTTAATCTTAATTAAACTACTTAGTTATCTTAATCTTAATTTATAATTATTTATAATATATAATCATTATTTTACTAATATACACCCTCCGTCCCGTGAAATTAGTTCAGTTTCTTTAGGGCATGCAGTTTAAGAAATATTGTGTTAGATAGTTAATTAGTTTGATTAATGGATGTAATAAAATTTTTTATTAAATATTTTTTATTTGATAAAATATTAAAATAAAAGTTAAAATATTTTTTATTTTAATTTTTAAATATTAAATTTTTTATTTACTGATATTATTTAAAGTAATAATAATAATTGTATTTATTGTAAATCAATACATGCATTTAGATAAAAAAAAATACTTATAATTTTAATAACTTAAATGTAAGTTATACAATAAAAAATGTAATAAAAAAAATTATATAAACAATACATAGAAATTTTTCGAATTTGGTTGTTGTTAGAGATAGTTCCTTGTGATATACCAAATTTAATACCACATCGCATACGTACGGTACAAAATTATTGGTATGATATTTTACCGTACCGTACAAATATTTTGGTATACCGAATTTGTGGATAAAAAATACGGAATTACGGAAATAACATGCATACTCGTAAAAAAAATACCGAAAATATTTCAAAATTTCGATACAATATGACTTTTTTTGTATGATAACGTATATAATAAGATATTTTCAATGTATATAGATAATTAGAAAAATGGTATATTTGTATATACTGATTATTTGATACAATATCGATATCTTTTTTTAATAAATTAAAAATTTTGGTACGGTATACAATATACTTCGATATTTTCGATATACTATCTCAAACTATCTCTAACTGAATTGTATATACGATATTAGAATATAATATTTTACGTCAAATACCGAAATTTAAAATAAGTTTATAATTTTGCTTTATAAATAAGTTCTAATCAAATCTCATTTTTAATTAATTTTTCAACTATAAATTTCCAAATCAAACATCAAATTTTTATTATATATTACATTAAAATTTAATTTTAAAATTAAATGAATATTTATTTATATAATATTAAATATTTATTATTTTTATTATTCAAAATTTTAGCCCAACTTCTAAATTTACAATTAACAAATAATAAAAATAAAGATATTAGTAAGTTCATAAAATATAGTTAAATTTTTTTAATTAGAAGTATTAGTTATTAATTATTACTATAATAGGAAAGTGAACTAATTTCGTGGGACGACTAAAAAGGAAAAGTGAACTAATTTCGTGAGACGGTGAAAATATTTTTTAATTACTTACTAATCATATTTTACCTAAATTTCTGTATCTACCGTAACACGCCCAAATTACATAGGACGAAGGGAATAACATTTTTTACTTTCATCCGATTTCACTTGTCATTTTTTTTGTGAAAAATATTATATATTTTAATTATATTTTAAGTTTTATAATTTATAATATTTTTAAATTTTTAGTAGATTAATTAGTTATTTGAATTTGAATTTATAATTATATATATTATATTCTAATTAATTTTAATAATATATTCTTAATTATTTATTATAGAAATAATGACACAATAGCTGGGACTAAAAAAGTAACAGTAGATGAATACAAAATTATATTAACATAGGTTTATCTCAAGAATTAAAATTATAAGCGATATTATGAATGTATTTAAATATATTTTGTAAGTCTTTTTTTTTTAATGTTATTTTTTTAACAGTTAAATGAAAAAACAAATATATGTATGTGATATAACTGGGTATTTAACTTAATTTTTAGATAAAATTAGATTTTATATTTTATCTGTCTTAAAAGCTATAGTATCTCATATATAAAAAAATATACAAATATTCTTTTAATCTTTATCTATTATACACGTAGCACCCACCCACGAAGGTGCTACGTAATCCATATATATACTTTTTATTTTTTTTGTGTTGGAGTTTATTTGCTTATGAATATATCCGTGAATGAAATCAGATAAATACATTTTCATTTACTCCACCAAATCAACAACCCCTTCGTTCTCCTTATATATCTCTCGTCAACAATATCATACATACATAAATTTATATATACATACATACATTAGCCTACATACTACATACATATATGTATATATATATACGCACTCACGCACACACATCTATATATATATATATATTATACACAGTATCTAATATAATACAAAATATAAAATAGTGGTTAGCGGTATAAGTAATTAATATTTCTATTGGTTAATCATATAATAATATCACACTATTATCCACTATGTTTCTATTTCTTTACATTATTGTCACTGATCATTCTATTTTAATTAAAACTTACCTTATTAATTAATAAAAATTTTAATTTTACTTGGTGCATATTTTTACAAGACAATAAAATATATATTCATATATATTTTTTTTTCTTTTTAAAAAAAGTATAATTACAGCATATTATATATGTATAAATAGCTCCATAATTATTAATTAGTCCCTTAGGTCATTTTTTAAGGAACACAATGTACTACATATATATATATATATATATAATACATGTATTATTGACTAAATATTAACATTATATGGCTTTATGTATATAGTGTAATTTATATTTTCTAAATTATTTTATCAACATATGATAATGAATATTATAAGTGTTTTATGTATTTATACACGTTGCTACCTAAATATTATAGTTGTTGAGGGTGTATAGTTCAAGCAACTGTATATGAAGATTAAAAAAAATATTACTATTTGTTAAAATTTAACTATAAATGAAATAAACATATGCCATAATTTTAAATAACCCAAAGAAAAATATATATTCCATCTGTTCCTTATTAAATGGTCCTTTAGGGTTTTATAGGTAAATTGTCCTATTTAACTTAAGCACGGAGTCTTAGGTTTTGTATAATCAGTAAGTAATTACAAATGAAAATAATTATGATTTTAATAAAAAAAATTATACATTAAGATTAAAATTATTTTAATTAAAATAAAAAAATTATAAATTATAAAATTTAAAATGTGATTAAAATGTATAATTATATTTCCAAAAAACAAAATGACAAATTATATGGGACGAACGGAAATAGAAAGATGAGACAAATTAAGTGAGATAAAGGAATAATATTTTATTGGTCAGTAGAAGTTTGTAAAAAAATTCAATATTTTTTCCCTTTGACTTTATGTATAAAATAATTGTATGTGTAATAGTATATTTATAATTTAGGTAAAAACAATAGGTATTTTGGTATAAGTGTATAATTACTTTTTCTAAAATAAAAAATAAATATTTTGAAATAAAACAAACAAAAATAGTAAAAAATATATTTTGAATGAGATCGGAAAGAATATTATTATCTAAATATTGTAAGCTAGTTTAGTAACATACTCAGTTCCTCCCATATCCATCTATTTATTTACTTTTTGTATGAAGTTTTAGAAATTTTAGTATTATATTGAGATGTAGTAGAAATAAAAATAAAAAGATTAAACTAACCTTATTAGTATTGCATGATATAAATGTAATGATATTTGTATAATATATTGTAATTTTGAAACATATTTGTAATGTTAGATAGACGATACAATCACTACAAGAAATTATCAATTTTGTAACGAGGTTTTTTCGTTCCTAAATTCACTTTTTCGGTTACTAATGATATTAGAGATGAAATTAGAGATGAAATTACGTTACTTACGTGAACTTTAGGAACGGAATTCCGTTACAAATATACTACTTTTTTTTTGTGAATTATTAAAAAAAAATGAAATAAATACTTTATTATAGGAGAAAGCAAAATAAAAAAATTGGATAAATTGTTAACGGATAAAAAGAATACGATAGATGGATCTTAATTATTGTTGTAATTTGTAAATGTAAAAATATTTATTTAATAAAAACCGTATTTGAAAAATAACGGCTTCTGCAAGTGCCACGTCATAAGCAAAGGTAAAAAAAGAGTGGTGTCAGAATGTTACTTTCTAGTTTGGAAGCGGCAGTTGCAATTTAAAAGGACAGACTCCAACAAAAAAATGAAACAAAATAATTAATGCGGATGCAATTACAGAACGGAGCGTTAGTCGTATATAAAGTCGCCGTCATCATCCGTGGAAGCTTCACCAAACTGCGTTTACAGAGTGCATCTCCCACCTATCAAAGGCCTCTCTGCCTCCGATTTCTATCTCCAAGGGAGAGAAATGGCACACGCCGGTGTTGAGGAGGTAATTTCATTCAGGCGATCCATGAATTCGTTTCGATTTCAGTTTTCAACTATTTTTTTGGTTTTGGTGAAAATAGTTTTAGTTTTTGATTGTTATTGAAGGTCGATATGGTTGTTTTGGGTGAGGAACACGACCACGTTCGAATTGCTACCTTGAATCAGCCTCGCCGCTTGAACGTTATTTCCTTCGATGTGGTATTTAAGCGATCATCCTCTGTTGTTGATAAATTCGCCTCCTCCAACTCCAAACCCTAGCTAGTCTCAATTTTCAATTAGTTGTAGATTAATTAATCCTTTGGCAAAATTGCAGGTAGCTTTGATGGCGAAGTTTATGGAGAAGTGGGAGAAGGATGGGAATGCAGAGCTCATACTGATCAAGGTCATACATACATACATAGACATACATCGATCATCGATCATCCATATCTTATCAAAGTGTGAACGAGTTTTTGACAAAATTGATGTGTTGGTTGTTGTTGTTGAATGTTGATGAAGGGGAGTGGACGAGCTTTCTCAGCCGGTGGGGATCTGAAGATGTTCTACCAAGGAAAGATGTCCGGTGAGCAGCAAAATTCATTTCAAATTCAATAAATCCAAGGAAAAGCACCATTGATCTGAGATCTGAGATTGAGATTATGTGTTTGTGTGTTAACTGTTCATCAATGAACATTGTGTAGAGAATCCGAGTGTTGAAGTGGTGTACAGAATGTACTGGCTCTGCTATCACCTCCACACCTACACCAAAACACAGGTAGAGCTAGGGATGTCAAATGGGCGGGTTAGCCCGGGATCCCCTTTTAATGGGGGCGAATTTGGGTCTAAATAATATATTTCGGGGCGGATTATGGATTTAAAATTTTAAATCCGATCGGGTTTGGAGCGGATTACGGATTTTACTAAAAACTCGCCCCAATCCAAATTCGGACCCGAACTCGAATATTTTTTAAAATTATTATAACTAATATATATGTACATTTATATAATAAAAATATATTATTTATTTTCTTAAATAATTTTAAATATAAAATTTCAATTAGTCGGCTGCTCCGAATAATTTTTTAAAATTATTATACCTAATATATATATTTATACAATAAAAATATATTATTATTTATTTATTTTATTTTTATGGATTAATATTTGATTGTTTTTAGATTTTTTTTTGCTTTTAATATTATTTTTTTTATTATTCGATTATTAAAAAAATATTTATTATTATATATTTTTTAAAAAAACGGATTTGTCGGGTTGGCCCCGAACCCTCCGGATTCGGAGCGGAACGGGGCGGGTCCTGGGGCCGGGTGAAAGCGGGGCGGGGCGGATCTCGGAGCCTAATATTTTCTAGCGGGGCAGGTCTCGGGGCCTATAAAACCCGTCCCGAATCCGCCCCGTTGACATCCTAGATAAAGCATTCGTGGTTCATTATACTTACTGTTATTAATTTTTTTACTGGTTAATATTTATTTCTTAAAAAATATCATAATATATATATTTATTTAAAATATTATATTTTTTATTATTTTATTTTTAAATATAAAAATTAAATCAGGTAAACAAATTTGTAGTGTGCACGGCGCGCAGGTTGCATTGGCTGATGGGATCACGATGGGAGGTGGTGGAGCGTTTATGGCACCCGCGAAATTCTCCATCGTTACAGAAAACACTGTCAGTATTCATTCTTATTCTTTTATTATTTATTTATTCTTATTCTCCATCCTCTTCTTTACCAACACTGCAATAAAGAAATAAGTAGGTAATTAAACTACTACAGAAATAAGCAAGCGTATCTCCCGTGGACCCACCCATTAAATGTAATGCCTTTTACAATAAATAATTAATAATTTGATTTTTGATTTTATTATTCTTAATTTTTTCTCTTTAAAAAAAAAAATCAAATTAAATATTTATTTTTTATTTATTTTATTACACTCAAATCTAATTTTACATACAAAATATCACATCAATACATATTTATATCACATTAAACAACAATTTCAATTCAAAATTTTACTATTTAAAACCAAAACTCAAAATCAAAATCACACGAGAAAACACACCTACGGTACTCCAATTACTTTTATACGGCTATTATATTTTGATATATTCTTAATGATTTTTATCTTTATTTTCTAAATAATTTTATAAATTACATAAAAGATAAAAAGGGAAAATATTATCTATAAATAAATAATAGTAAAAGTTAGCAAAATTTTTGAAACATTCTAAATTGGAACTTTGAAAAGTTCTCATATGTTAATTTTTTTTTTTTTTATTATTATTATTGTTATACTATTTTTTTTTAAATAAAATTTAACTGACCGTAATATCTTTTTATTGAAAATAAATATTTGAATAAAATATTTTCATAAAGAAAAACATTAAATAATAAAAAAACGTATTGAATCTGTTTTTTTTTTTTTTTTTTTATTTTCCTTGAAATTTTCTCATTTTTTACTATTTAATTTATTATTGTGCTTTATAAAAGTATTTCTACTTTTTCTATAAAATATACTATTTAAAATTTATTTACCACAATACAAATTAATATATATTTAAAAATATAAACACATCAATGACTGTACGAGTCGATTACAACCTAACATAGGCTTTAAAGGGTCTAATTAACTTTAAAGTAGGTGCCCCAAGGTAGCTCCATTTTTCCGTTGTTACAGTAAATGTAGTTGATCTACGATATTTTTACTCAAATCATAAATTTTAATTTTTACTCTAAAAAATATATATTTTCTATATATATTTTTTTTATATTATTTTATATAATTTTTCATATTTATAAATTACACTCCAGTTTTAATTATTTTTACTTTATAATCCATACAGATATAATTTATATTTTATTTTAAAATTACATATATTAAAATTAACATTTATAATTAATAACTATTACAAATAAAATAATTTTAAATAAATAATAAAATGCTATTAAGACAAATAACTATTTAAAATAAATAATTATACATAATTTTTTATAAAATAAAAGTACATGTAACTTTTAAAAAATAAAATTATATCACTTTTCGAAAAATAAAATTATATACTCCCTCCATCCCATAACAAGATATCCATTTACTCTCTCTCCGTCCCATAACAAGATATCCATTTACTTTTTGCGTGTTGATCTTTGAATATTAATTATTATATCAAATTGTATTACAAATAAAGAGAAAATGACAAAATTACTTTTATTGGTGTCTTATAATACTAATATAATGACATTTGTATAAAACTTTATGCAAATATAAGGATATTTTCAATGTTAAAAAAGACAAATGGATACTTTGTTATGGGACGAAGGAATTATTAATTTTAAAAATAAACTTCTATATCACTTTTCAAAAAATAAAATTATACAATCATTTTAAAAAAATAAAATTATGCATAATTTTTTAATATATAAAATTATATATCATATTCTAAAAAAATAAAATTACACAATACATCTCAAAAAATAACAAAAATATAAAAAACACCACAAAATATCATAAAACCTCCACTCCAATACATTACTTAAAAAAATGGGGCGAGATTTGGGGGTGGGTTGGAGTTGGTCTAAGGTCCGACTCAGAATTTATTAGTCTTAGGTTAGGTTTTTAATCTTCATAAATGCTATGTGGTCCTTTGATTTTAAGGTATTCAAAATAATTATTTGTAATAATTATTTATAAATAATAATGTAGTAACTTTTAATGCATGTTTGTGCATGATTAGGTATTTGCAACCCCGGAGACAAGTGTTGGCTTTCACACCGATTGTAGTCTTTCGTACAAACTTTCCCGCCTTCCGGGCCATTTAGGTAATATATACGCGTGTGTGAGAGCATGTCTACATACTTCCGAAAATAATAAGATATGAATAGAACATATTTGATCATAGGCATTTGTTCTTGTTTTGTAATAGGGGAATTTTTGGGATTAACTGGAGCTCGGCTCAATGGACCAGAATTGATTGCAATTGGTTTTGCCACTCACTTTGTTCCTTCACAGGTAACTTGTTGTCCACACGATTTAATATATATTTATATCCTTGATTCGTTTCAAATTTTGCTTTTTATACTATACGACATATGAATTTAATTTCAATTGGCTAAATATATATATATATATATATATCATTTTTGCTTCTTTCATCTTTAATTTTTGAAAATTGATGAGATACAATATTAGATAGCACTGGTCTTTCGTATGAATATTATTTCACAGGTAACTTCATTTTGTCAATTCTGACATAAAAAAACTGGTAAGTACATTTAGATTTTGAATCCAAATTTAAAAATTGAGCACAATATATAATAAAAAATCACAATTTGTGGTCTTAAATTATTAGTTTTGTAAAGGGTATGTTCCTTTTAGGATGTCTTTAGTTTTTTTACTGTCTAATTTCTACAATTTTCAACAAAAAGATAATATTGTATTTTACAAAATATTACATCAAATCACTATTTAAATTGAGTTACAAAAAAGGAACATACCCTTCTCTATCCGGTTTCTATATTCTATATATTCATTGTAAACTCTTATATAACAATAATGATTTTAAAATTTTAGGATGTATGATGAACTAAATTAGAATAATGCAAAAATATCTCATTAAAGTGAGAATAATTTATATCAACAAATACAATTTTTGGAATAGAATGGAAATCAAGTCTTCTTTAAGTGACAAAAGTATTATTTCATCCAACGACATTTTCTTTTTTAAATAAACGAAACATCTTGGATGCTTTAATTAATGTGATATTATTTTAGTAGAAAATGGCGGAGCTTGAAAGTCAGCTGATAGCACTAAATAGCGGAGAAGAGAATGCCGTGAGATCAGTGATCGAGGAAATTTCCACAAATGTGTCGATTGATTCTAAAAGTTTCCTTAATAAAGAACGGTTGGTTTAGTTATATTTTCAAAGTGTTTTAGTTTTTGGATTATTTTGAAAAATAATATATAAAATTTTGATCAAAAAATATTGGACATGATTCTTTCTAAGGAGATATGTTCTTTTTTACCCCAACTTGTAACATATACCAAAGTTGGATCTTAGTGTGGTGTTTTTGGTTCGCTTTTTAGGATCGCTATAATTGACAAGTGCTTTTCTAAAGATTCGATGGAGGAGATCTTGGCGTCATTTGTGAGTGACAAATTGGATATAGTTATTACACACGCATTTCGTGCGCTAAAATAATCTTATATAATAATTCATTCATTTTCAGGAAGGCGAGGCAAGCAAAGAGGGAGGCGAGTGGATGCATACTTTTCTCAAGCCACTAAAGAAGGCATCGCCAACGGCTTTAAAGATAACATTAAGATCGGTGATGGTTTCTATCTCCCTATAATAATTCACAATATGTTGTGTTTTGATATTAGCATAAAAATTCTAGAGATTATTCGGAATGATAAATCAATTAAGTTATCTTTCGGACGATAATACATTTCAGATTCGTGAAGCGAGGAAACAAACATTAGGTGAATGCTTGAAGAAAGAGTTCAGAATCACCATGAATGTTCTCAAGACTGTAATATCACCTGATGTTTACGAGGTAGTTTGCTCTACACTTTATTTATTACACACTTGAAATTAAAGCTTTTTTTATATACAACATTTGCAAGACTTTTGCACTTCTCTTAGTACAACTTGTTTCCATTCAAAAGGGTATTCGAGCACTCACCATCGACAAGGACAATTCACCTAAGGTCTCTCTCTCTCCCTCTCTCTATAAAGTTTGATTTGATTTGATTTTTTATTTATTTGAATATACACTACAAGAAAAAATCATTTTTGTAACAAAATTTTTTTTTTGTCTCTAAATCTACTTTTTCCGTTACTAATGACATTAGAGACGGAAATTGGAATGAAATTACGTTAGCTACGTGAACTTTAGGAACAGAATTTCGTTACAAATATATTATTTTTTTTTTAATGATAATACTTTGTAAGAAAAACTAGTCTATTTTTATTAAAAATATCGATGGTTGTCGCATAGTTTAAAAAAAAACTAAAATCATACTTCAAAGTAACACGATCTTACATTTTGTAGTTCATAGTTTTTATTATATCTTTAGTTTCTTTTAGTACATTTGTGTTCGGATGTGGGGTTGGCTTTCAACCAACTATTCATCTTTTCTATTTTTGTTCTAAAAAAATTCCGACTTAAATATTTATTTATTTCTATTTTCATCTTACATTAAAATGTATTTATTTTTTATTCAAAACACCTCATTACACTCATTTATATTACAATAAACATAAATTCTATTCATTCGATTCTAAACGACATGTTTTTGTCTGCAGTGGGAGCCAGCAACTCTTGAATCTGTGGATGAAGAAAAGGTGAGTTTGGTATTACAACCATTTGACCAAAATTTGGAGCTTCGAATTCCGACAAGTGATGAATTGAGGTTAGTGTGAGAAAAATAAATTAAAATTTTTAATTTTATTTTATTTTTGAGTGAATTTTAGTTTGAACTGATGGTGCATTATTGCTGGTGACATGCAATATTTATATAGATGGGATGGAAAATTCGAAGAGTCTCCCTATGCACACAAGATTGTTGCAGCACATTGAAGGAATTTTCCTGAGAGTTTCTATGCATACACAAATGGTTGTGTTAGATTATTAGTTTATTACATATTATTCTCTTTACTCTAATTTTCTTTTTTAATCTATAAGCTAAATTTACTGTACTGTTAAATTTGACAAGGTGAACGTTTAATTATTATCCTAAATTTTCTGGACGGAGGGCTTATATAATTAGACGGGCGGACAATTAATCATGCATTATGATTTAAAATATAAATATATTATTTTTATATTAAAAAAGATGTTTTTTTTTTTTTTTTTTTCACAAAACATCGCTATTTTAATATCAATTTCAAATTAATTTTTCTCAAACTCAATCAAAGGAAACACACTCACGTTTTGGATACCTGATCAAAAAATTGAATGGTGATATAAGATACAAATATTCATATCCGAAATTTGATCTATACTTCTGAATTTTTATTTTATAAAATATTATACTACTTCCGTCCACCGTCAATCTATCGGTTTATTTTTTGCATGTTAATATTTGAATATTAATTATTATATCAAAATGTAGTAATAATCAAGAAAAAATGACAAAAAAAAAATGACAAAAATATTTCTATTGTTATTTTATAATACCAATGTAATGACATTTGTACAAACAATTATATAAATATAAAAATATTTTTTATGTTAAAAAAAATAGCGTCAAATGCAAATAAATAGATTGACTGTGGACAAAGACAGTACTTACTATATTGTAATTTAGTTCGTTAATAAGAATAGTAATTAGTATTGATAAATAAGAGACATTAAAAGTTATATAATAATTTTTTTTAATATAATATTTTTAGTTTTGATTTTAATTTAAAATTATCATTATTCATTTGGTATAATTTTGCAATAAAAATATTATATATATATATATATATATGAGATCAATTCATGAGCCCATTTCAATTCAATTAATTATTTAATGGGACAAGAGTTTCATTATATTCTTTATTTCCTATTGCACTACCTACACTACATTTTTTGTATAATTTTATATTATACATTTTTACAATATTTTATAAAAATTATATTAAATTATTTAATTAAAATAAATGCAAAAAAAAATAATTATTACATTGGCCCAAAATAATGTCCTAAACTGGCCCAGTTGCGTTATCGTCGGTACGGAGTTGGCATGGTAGAAATATGACCGTTGCAGATTCTAAAACAGCTGCCGCCTCCCAATTCAGTAATTATTTTCAATAATAAATTTAATAATTAGAGCGCGTCCGAAGAATTAAACACATATAAAGTTGCTCCTCTACGACTACAATGATTGAGGAAAATCCAATTCACATTGCCACTGGCGCCGTAGAGAGCCCTCGAATCATCCATTAGATTTCGTCGCCGCAGCAGAAATTGACGAATGGGGAAGAGGGGCGCCGACGAGGCGTTGCAGGAGGCGGTGGTGGTGGTGATGGAAGGACAAGGAAGAGATCAAAACAGTGAGACAAACAATACGGCGGCGACTGAGACGCCCGAGGCTTCGAATCAGGAACAGCATCCCTATGCGTTTAATGTGTGCGGTCCTCGCAATGTTCCTTGTATAAACTGGCGAGATCTCATCAATTCCACTTGGTCAGTGCTCTTCTCAATCATCCTCGCAGCATTTTTAATTTTTTTGTTCAGATTGAACTTTTTTGGGGATTCTCTCGTCTTTGTTGATTGCAAACGTGTCTCCTCCTTGTTCGAATTCTCAGCTAGATGTAGGAATGTATGTATGTGTTTGAATCGTCTGCGATTTGTTGCTTTTTACATTTCGAATTATGGAATTTTCACCAGATTTCAAGGAAATCCTGTGGCTGAATTGAACACTTCGTATATTGTAGGGTTTAATTTACTCTGATTAATGTTGGAAGAGAATTCGACTTTATTGTTTCCTATTTGAATTAGAATTTTGGTACCAGAACATTGGAGTTACAACTCCTGATTATTGCTGAGTTTTATATGTTTTTTTGGGCTTGAATTAGGGATGGATTGCTGGTTTATGTATTGCAATTGATATCTTCCGGAGTGTTCTTGTACTGAGAAATTGGATTGGGACTGAGTTGATTTGGTTGATAAGTAGGGTGTAAATGTTCTGCATATGAACCTGCTGCCATTGCTATTGACAAGATTTGATGCAGCAAGAATGTGATTAATCTTCGTTCTTGTTAGCCGAATCAGATCTATTTGTACATAGGCACACAGAGGGGGTGGGAATGTTAGCTAATATATGTACACAAGGAGGCAGTGAAATGGATCACATTCTTTGGTCTACATAAACTGATGAACATGTTATTACGACATTTGCCTTCGAACTTACCACACTTGATGTTGAGTTCCTCCCCGATGTTTTGCACTATCTGTGTTGCATTAGCTTCAATGTTTATTTGTGAAGATTAGATGTTTTCAATTGCATTTGGTCGATCTTTACAGTAAAATAATACTTCAAAACTTGTTTTCAAACTTGTCTGATTTGATTCATTTGGATGGAACTTCATCTAGAATTTGCTGCTGAATCTGTTTAGTTTTTTGTTATGGAGAATGAAGTGATTTTCTGACTCTTTTATCAACCAATCCCTTGGAAATTAAGAGTTCGATTAGTTATGAGGAATTAGGAAGTTGTAACTTTGATCTTCGAATTTTGGATCTTTTTTTCAATGTTGATATTTGATTCTTTAATAGATTGGACATGCTAAGATAAATATGTTTCTCGATTTTAGCACACGATATATCCTTCGATCAAAACCTTGGAAACTAACAATCTTTTGATCGATTCATTGAAAAATTAGCAGGAACGATAGCAAGTACAAAAGAATGGTGATAGCCTGTTTCATACAAGCAGTATACTTACTCGAGCTCGACAGACAAGAAAACCGAACCAACGAGACCGCCCTCGCCCCAAAATGGTGGATACCGTTCAAGTACAAATTATCAGAGGTCCTAATAGACGAACGAGATGGGTCGATATTTGGCGCCATACTAGAATGGGACAGATACGCCGCACTCTCCGATTTTGTTCTAATCCGACCAAGTGGCGCGCCGAGGGCCGTTCTAGCGCTCCGAGGGACGCTCCTGAAAAGCCAAACTATCCGGCGCGACATCGAAGATGATCTCCGTTTCTTAGCTTGGGAAAGCCTGAAGGGATCCGTCCGATTCAGCTGCGCTCACCGGGCGTTGAAGTCGATCGTGCAGAAATACGGCAGCAGCAACGTCTGCGTCGCCGGACATTCTTTAGGTGCCGGATTCGCGCTCCAAGTCGGAAAGGCGTTGGCGAAAGAATCCATTTTTGTCGAGGCGCATTTGTTCAATCCGCCTTCCGTTTCGCTGGCGTCGAGCCTGAGAAACGTCGGCGATCGAGCAGGGATAATGTTGAAGCGTTTCCGGGCTATGGTGATGCCTCCGAGCGCCAAAGATCACGGCGATGATGTCCGGGAAGTCGCGACGAAGATGGGATCGAAGCAGTGGGTGCCTCATCTTTACGTGAATAACAGTGATTACATCTGCTGTTATTACACCGATCCTGACGACGGCGCCGGTAAGGAGAATAGCGGCGTAGCGGCGGCGGCGACTACGGCGCAGTCGTGCGCGGCGGCGAAGCTGTTTGTGCTGTCGAAAGGAAAGCAGAAGTTTCTGGAAGCTCACGGGCTGGAGCAATGGTGGTCGGATGAGCTGGAGCTGCAGACGGCGCTTAGTAGTAGTAAGCTGATTAGCCGGCAGCTGAAGTCGCTGTATTGCGGCGGAGGTCAGGAACAGCAGCCGGCTTAGAAGAAGACAGTCCAGACAGGTTTGTTGATTTATGGAAATAATGGATGATTTGTTGTTCTTCATTGTTTCAGGGAATGTGCAAAGCTCAGAACGATTTATTGAAGAAAATAAAATGTTGATTGAATAATTCTTTATTCATATTTTGAAAATTATTTATAAAAAGATATTGTTATATGAACATATATTTAATAGGCTAAACTTCACAACAAAATTCACGATTTAATGAAATTCCGATTAAATCCCTAATATTTTAAAAGATTGGTGTAAATTTCTAGACCCTGTTTTGTTGTTTTTTTTTTTTTCTTTTCTTCAAAATATTACTCTTTTCATTCGTCAAAATTAATTAGGCCTTCTGCCATTTGATGTGTTTTTCTAGCCCAGTTTTGAGTTGGCTTAATTTTCTAGGATGTGTTTCTCCAGCACAGTTTTGAGTTGGTTTACTGTTTGCACAGTAAATTAGTTCAAATTTGGATTGTCTGATTTTGGGAGTAAGACATCATCCATTTGTCTGTTTGTTTATTTGTTTTTTTTTTTTTCAAGTTAAATTATAAATATAAATTAAATTTTTATAATAATTATAATTTAATAAAATATATACAATATATATGAGAAGAATAATATAAATTTAGAAATGTATAGGTAGGTATAATATAAATTTATAATAAAATTATACACATTTATATTATTATATTTATTATCATCTAATAAATACACGTCAAAACTTTCCAAACTCAATCCAAAACTAAATACAAAAGAAACACATAAATTCAAACCTAACTCATAATTTAAATAAAAATCAAACTTAAATCCAAATCCAAATTTCATCAAATCCCCTAAAAGTATCTCTTATAGTCATACCTCCACTCCATTATCTTTTTTATCTCTCTCATCCACATCATATCCACCGTAATATTCAAATCATTTTATTTATCATCATTATAATAAATCACCTTCAACCCATTACCTTTATTATTTTATAAATACACAATAATTTATTCATTTCTATATATTTTTATTATGTATTAATATATATAAATAATTTATGATATCAATACAAAGTAAAAATCAAAAAAATAAAAATAAAAATACGTTTTATTAGTCTCTTATAATACATATACAATGATATTTTTCGAATAAATTATTCAAATATAAGGATATTTTTAATGTCAAGTACAATGACGTAAAAATTAAATGACAATCTTCTTGCGGGACGGAGGGAGTATTTTAAAAATATTACAATAGAGGTTTGGATTTTCAGAGATATTTAGTACTAAATCCATTCGACTTTAAGGGTTCTATTTACTTTTTACATGTTGATATTTGAATATTAATTATCATATCAAAACGTAGTATAAATTAAAATTTTTTTGTAAAAATACTTCCATTAGAAGAGCATTTGTACAAAACATTATACAAAAATTATGATATTTTTAATGTTAAGTATAATTACGCAAGAGGTAAATGTAGTCTTTAGAGGCGGACGGAGGGACTAGTACTCAAGGGATGGACATGGACCTCCGCACTTTTTATATTTAATAAAACTATTATCTTTCCGTCATTATACTTAACATTAAAAATATTTTTATATTTATATAATTTTTGTACAAATGTCATTTTATTAGTATTATAAGACTCGAAGTATTTTTGTAATTATTTTTCAATTTGTATTATATTTTGATATAATAATTAATATTCAAAAATCAACATGCAAAAAGTAAATACAACCCTTAAAGCCGCCGGACTGCGCTAATATATATAATAAAGTATTAAAATTTTGGAATCCTATTGCAGCACCCACATAATGGACTCAAGTTTTTTTGTACTTATTACATTTAAAAAATATTATATACACTAGTCTTAGAATTTCTAATACCCATAAAAATAGTTGATTTATATATTATTTAAATAAATTTATAATAGTATAATAATTGATTTCGAGACTATTTTCGAAATATCTCATACTTTTCATTACATTATAATACTATTTGCAACTATTTAAATTAAGAACAAAATAACAGAAACGCATGTAATATTTTGATTTGTGACAAATATTATGTAATATTTTTTATAACTATTTAAAATTATGATAGAATTAATTAAGTAGGAAAGTGTATGCAATATTTTGATTTGTTAAAAATGTTGTTATGGAATATTTTTATGATTATTGATTTGATTAATTTTTTCCCTTTCAATAATTTTACTTAATTAAAAATCATTTAATTTGTTTAATTATTAACAGTAGAGATTAAACTCAGCAGGCTGAATTTGAATATTCACTATAAGAAAAAATTAACAATTTTTTTTTTTTTTTTTCTAAATCTACTTTTTCCGTTACTAATGACATTAGAGACGGAATTAGGAACGGAATTACGTTAGCTACGTGAATTTTAGGGACAAAATTCCGTTACAAATATATTATTATTATTATTATTTTTTGTAGTGATTGAGCATATAATCTCATATAATATATGTTGTATGTTGATTGTTATAAGCAAAGCAGCTTCCTTTAATGAATTTTTTTCTCTAACTATTTAAAATCACATTATTAATCACCTTATTTAACTTTTATTTCAATTAATATTATCCATGACTATTTAATAGTTAATATATAAATAAAAGATTTATGTATTTTTAACTTTAAATTTTTTATGCAATAGGTTTAAAAAATAAAAATTGCGTCCATTAGAATCACAGCAAAAAAAATAAAAAATAAAAAATTGAAGAACAATTGATGAAATCCAAAAAGTTGAGGTGAAGTACAAAAAATAAATAAAACATCAAGATATTAAAAAAGAGAATCTTGAAACTGAAAATTAAATAGATAATACTATTAAATTAAAAGATCGAATTTCTTGCCAAAATAAATACTCGTTAAATAAATATATGAAACATATTAAATTTATGGATGACACTATATGATCGAAGAATAAAAAATAAAATTTCTGTAAATGATGGATAAGTCGGTGATAGGTGATCGCTGACTGCAAGATCATTGTTCGATCTTTATAGTGTCGTACGGTCCGTGACAATACCACAATTTTGGAAAAGTTGTAACCGTTGATTGTAAAAATTCGTTATAACAAATTTACCACACCAACTCGCCGCCCCTTATACGGTTTTATTCTTTCTATATTTCTTTTCCGAGAACTCGAACGATTACTTTATTATTTATTTAAAGAGACTAATTGAGTTGAAATTCATGATTTCCTCCTTTAATAATTTCTAGTAAAACCATTTACAACATTTTTAAGTATAAAAATTCATAATTATTTATGGATCGAATACATTCTTAGAGATTTATTCAAATTGAAAAATGAGCTGCTTTAATGAAAGGGTATATTTCTTTTTTAACTCGGCAAAAATTACACAGCTGAAGTAAATGTAATTTACCGTAAACAAAACCAGACAACTTATGAGATGAAAATCTAATAAAGACTACATTTTTATTTTTTTTATGAGATGAAAATCTAATAAAGACTACATTTTTATTTAAATTTTTTTCTTTAGAGATAAAAGTTGGGATAACAGATTAGCTCGTAATCCACTTTCTTTATCTTTTATTCTTTCTGACCTGTGGGATTTTATTACACAATTGAAAAACGCCAATACAGATTGAATTAATTACTTTCGCCATTAATGTTCAGATAGTTTTGCATCAGTAACTTATGAACAGAAACCATACTAATGAACCAAATCTACAAGAAATCCAAAATTTCCAGCTCCTGGGATCCCTGCACCCAATCAATCCACGCCGTCGATCTGCAAAACCAACGGTCCAGATGGACGCAGAGTCCGGGAGCTCGCGAATATTTACCCCCCAACCTGAATTCAGAAAAATTAATTCATGGATGGTGATGATAAGCCTAAAGCATACAAACAATTATCATCTCCCTATCCAGTGTGATCTCAATTCACTTTCTGCCATTATCGTATGCTAGCCCTTTGCTTATTTATACGAATCGAAATGATTAAACAATTCCCACCAAGACATCAATTTTCAGTTTTTTCGATGGAGAGAGCAGTAGGGCAGCAGTTAGGTCACTTTCAAAATGGAGGGTCTTCAATGGTGATTGCTGATCCACCGGCAGCCATTGTTACTCCGAGCAGGTATGAGTCTCAGAAGCGCCGCGACTGGAACACCTTCGGGCAGTTTCTGAAGAACCACCGGCCGCCGGTGCCGCTGTCGCACTGCAACAGCAGCCATGTCCTCGCTTTCCTGAGGTACCTGGACCAGTTTGGGAAGACGAAGGTCCACCTGCAAGGTTGCGCCTTTTATGGCGATCCTGAACCTCCGGCGGCGTGCGGTTGCCCTCTCCGGCAGGCGTGGGGCAGCCTGGATGCATTGATCGGGCGGCTGCGCGCCGCCTTCGAGGAGAATGGCGGGCTGCCCGAGATGAACCCGTTTGCCAACGTGGCGATCAGGATGCACCTGAAAGAAGTTAAGGAGTCGCAGGCTATGGCGCGAGGGATTATGTACAAGAAGAAGAAGTCGAAGAAAGTGAGCCATTGAGATTATGGGAAGATTGCAGCAGAAGAAGATCGAGATTCTTGATTGTTTTAATTTAGGGTTTGGTTTGGGTTTTTTAATGAATAAATTAAAGGGTCATTTAGGTTGTTGAAGTTTGTGTCTTTGATTTCTAGTTTGTTGCTTTTTATTTCGATGTTAGTTTTATGTATGGTTTCTTAGGAAATCAATATGATTTGTTCCAATATTGGGTATGCAATTACTTCGATCTCTCTGCAATCAGGTCAATGTTGGATATCTACATTTTCCAAATTTAATACAAAATGAGATTTATGGTGTCAATGATTTATCAGTGGAAGTGTTACGTAAAGCCATTTTTGTGATTTTCATGTAAGATTTTTAGCTGAATTTCGGCGGCACAAAATTTTGTTGCGGCGTCAAGAACTGCCGCAAAGAAGATTTTGTGGGATACTTTTGGACTCGGTTTAGTTTGAGATTTTTTTTTTTTCTATCGTACCATAAAATTATTTTATTTTATTTTATTTAAAAATATATATTCAACTGCGTTTTTCTTGTGTTTTTTAATAGATATGTTTCATTAGTAAGAGTTATTGAGTGAACAAATTTATTATTTTTTTTAAACTAATATGTTTATTATTTTAGTCTCATAACTAGAGTTTCAATGGAAAATAGTTTTCTAAGTAATTTTTTGACATAATTGGTCCTCCGGCCCGGAGATGTGCACATGGCACGCGGGAGCAAAACCAATTCATGTAGTGCAAAAAAAATCACTTACCAAATGATTTGTATAGACTCCGGATGTGGGACTAAAATAATAATGAGTTAGTAGCGAACTAAAAAAAGGTTTTTCTTTTTTAAAATATCACGTAGAATGCGCGATTTAAACTGAAAACAAAATCCAAAAAGCTGACTTGTCTTTCTACGACACAATTAATTGGTCGATGACAATCACAATAAAAAAACGGTCTCGACACAAAATAAATATCCCCGACAAATCTTAGAATTAAATGAAAAGAATTGCAGTTGTTGCATAAGTTTCGTGAGAATTTTGAAACAACTAACTTAATAAGATTAAAGAAATTACAATTGTTCTTTAGTTGTTTTCATTACAATAAATACTCAAGTTGTATCATTAATGTTATGTATACTTTGAGATTTTTATTTTACCTTTTTGAATTTCTTTACTATGTAAACAAAACATCAGATGTAACACTATTAAAAAACAAAAAAAGAAGAAGAAGAGAAAAAAAAAAAAAAAAAAAAAAAAAGAAGGAAAAGCAATGATAAACAAAACAAAAAATTGCTAGGAAATAAGGGTATAGTTTAGTGGCAAAGACTTTAGGCTTCAACCCCTTGAATCCAAAAGAATACAACTTTATAAAACTATTTTTAAATTTAAATCTAATTCAAATCTTTTAACTTTTTCCAAGGAAACGTACCACAAAGGCATATGTCCATGAGAGGAAATGAATTGTAAGAATCAAACATGACAAGTAGATCAAGTTGCAAGCTTCAAGTTTATGACAAACCACTTATGCAGAAATATTTATACATCATTACCAAAACTAGTCACTTTAATGCCAACCATAATGTTCCAAAGGCAGCGTATGATGTTCCATGGAAGTTGTTTAGATGAGAACTACTTTAGGGTCGTCGCTTGCGTGTTTATTTGTATGGCTCGAAAATCTTACCAAAAGTATGGAAGAGATAGATATTTCAAATGGATGCCTGCTATATTGGAAAGATGATGAGGCTTTAAAAGAATGCAAAATATTTGCGATGGAAGAGTATTGCAGCATCGTATACAATATATCCGCTATTTAAAGAGAGGTTAAAGAAACGACTTGATACCACCACCAAAGAAGCAAAGAAAAGTCGACAAGGCATTCATTTGATGCAGAGGCATGGAAACAATTTGATAATACACACCTCGAGTTTGCAGAAGATTGGTTGGAACTTTGCACAAATGAGTTTGCACCTTATGGCGAAACTATCTTTGTTTTTATCCATAGTCATCACAAAAACTTGAAATATGAAGGTATTGATAAATTTATATATTTATAATCATTGATAGAAGAGTTGTTGCAACTAAGGGATCACCATTAATTGTAGGCATATCGGTTATAGGGAGGAACACTATAAATGGAGAAAACATTAATGGGACTTTCCTAACTGAAAGAATCTACGCACACTACTAGAAAATAAGTATAACGTTATGGTAAAAAAAGTTACGATTTCAATTTAAATTGGTGTCTTTTTTTTTTTTGTATAAACTATGGAATAACTTCCATGGATTTTGGTCATTTTTGTAATAATAAGTTAGTCGATGATACTATGATATTTCCATGACTCTATATAGAAACGAAAATCGCAACCGTTACATAACTTCATATTGTCACAAAAGTTGTATCAATGCCATGAAATCGTTGGTCACGGCCAATGCCGCAACTATTATATTGTCACACAACCACTACTTGAGTAAGACAATCACATTACATTTCGAGTCTACACCACACACTAAATAAGCCTCATTCAACAAGTCATGTTTGATGTTTGACAGGCTCAACCAAAAAAGTGTTGGATGGAGGAGGGGATCTTCGGCATCATCTCCTCCCTGCCCCACGCGCACACACACCTATGTATAGATACATGGGTGTGTATCTATAATAAATAAACACTCATTTATAGATACATATCTATGTATTTATACATGGGTGTTTGATGATGCTGAAGATCCATTCCCATTGGATGGGTTCGAAGTGGTTAGAGCAATCACAATGGAAAATTACAAAAATGTCTCATTTTGCCTATTTGTCCGAACAAATTATTACATTTTCAATGAATTTAGTTTTATGTTGCACAATAGTTTTGACCCCAATCGTCTTCTTCCCTCATTTCTCTATGCAAATTTCACTTTTTCTTTGCAAATCTTTTTTTTTTTTTTTTTTTTTTTTTGAGAAGAGTGATTATACTCTAAAATTTAGATATTATATTCTAAATTTTAGAGATATAATTTTCATATTATTGACATAGACTTAGCTTATCATGTATAATCACTTTAACACGTGTATGCGTATTCTATAATAAAATTTCTGGTAGATCATGTCTTGTGTTCTTATGTCCTTATTTGTCTCTTATTGATTTCATCGAATTTCTGTAACACTTTCTCTGCAAATTTTGTTTGAAAATCAAAATTGATTCCCGAATCCTCTTTTTTTCCTATTTTGCAATTCAGAAATTTACGAGAGGACTAGATAGAAGACACAACCTTCGATTAACTGCAAAAATACTAATTACTTTAATTAAAATATTAAAAAATTTAAATTCAAAAAATTAAAAATATATAATTTTATTCAAATAATAATAATAATAATAATAATAAGAGTCGAGTTTTGAGACAGACTAACTACAATATAGACACAAAAGATGGAAAGGGGGGAGTATTGGTTAATTGACGTCGACCACCTAGCTACTTGCGTAGGCCACTTTCTCATACAATGCAATATTTTTCATGCTTTAAGAGATTTATCACACCATCTACACTTACCCATATTGTGCAATATTTTATGCTTACGAGGAAATCGACAACAACAGCACAGCCATGTAATGTAATAACCCCACACGTACGTACATACCTACGTGCATTTTCTAACACCTATAATCACACACCCATACTTGGTAAAATATAAGATTGTGCGACCATGCACGGGTGTGTTTGTTTGGGGGATTGGATTTAATTTTTACTATTCATCTCATTTTTTCTTCCAAAAATATCAAATCAAACACCTATTTTTCATTTTTTATATTATATTAAAAATCAATTTTACATTCAAAACATCGTATCAACTTCTATTTATATCACATCATACAACTATTTAAATTCAAAATTTTTAGTATTCAAATCTCAACTCAAAATTCAAACCCCCAAACAAACAGAGTAATACATTCAAACATTATACATCCTGTAACGGATGATCTAGTTGTGTGGGGTTGTGATCGTGAGGTAATGAGTTCAAACTCCGATGCCTTCAGGTCCACCTGCCACACATAGTTCATCTAGTGTGACTTGTGTTATTGGACCTTGTTTGCATATATATTAAGTTTGGCAGAATGTATATATATATATATGTCCTCTCACTCCTCCTTTTTCAAAATAATATAGCCATGGAAGCCAGTGTTGAATCCACAAAACATTCAGAAGAGGAGCCGCCATGGCCGGAACTCCTCGGCGGCAAGAGCTGGGAGGGCCTCCTCAATCCCCTGAATCTCTCCCTCCGCCGCCTCATCCTCCGCTGCGGCGACCTCTGCCAGGCCACCTGCGACGCCTTCAACAACGACCAGAACTCCAAATACGCCGGCAGCAGCCGCTACGGCAAGAATTCCTTCTTCAAAAAGGTCATGTTCGACGCCGCCGCCGCCCGCTACCACGTCCGCTTCTTCCTCTATGCCACCGCCAAACTCAGCCTCGGCGAGGCCATCTTCCTCCACTCCCTCTCCCGCAACTCCTGGGACCGCGAGTCCAACTGGATCGGCTACATCGCCGCCGCCACCGACGAAGCCAGCGCTGCCTCAGGCCGCCGCGAAATTTACATCGTCTGGCGCGGCACGGCCCGGATGTACGAGTGGATCGACGTCATCGGAGACCGGCCCGAACCCGCCGAGGAGCTCCTGCGCCCCAAATCGTGGGAAAAGAAAGAATCAAATTCTTCAATTAACTCCGATGACGACGATGGCGACGGCGACGATACAGTCCCGAAAGTTATGAACGGGTGGCTCACGATCTACGTCTCCGACGATCCAAATTCGCCGTTCACGAAATTAAGCGCGAGAGCTCAAATCTTGAAAGCAATCGCAGCCATGAGAGATCAATACAAGTCGGAAAATCTCAGCATAATTCTGACAGGGCACAGCCTCGGCGCCTGTCTGGCAATCCTGTCGGCGTTGGACCTCACCGAGAACATCGCCGGCGACATTCCGGTGACGGCGATCGTTTTCGGGAGCCCGCAGGTGGGGAATAACGCGTTCAAGGAGCGAATCGAGGAGCATCCCAATTTGAAGATTCTGCAGGTGAGGAACATGATCGACGTGATTCCGCTCTACCCCGGCGGATTGTTGGGATACGCCGACGTCGGAGTGGAGCTGGTGGTCGACAACAGGAAATCTCCGAGCTTGAAGGATTCGAAGAATCCAGGCGACTGGCACAACTTGCAGGCGCTGCTGCACACGGTAGCGGGGTGGAATGGGGCGGAGGGGGAGTTTGAGCTGAAAGTGGAGAGGAGCCTGGCGCTGGTGAATAAGTCCAGCGCCATTGTTAGGGATGAGTTTCTGATTCCGGCGTCGTGGTGGGTGGAGAAGAATAAAGGAATGGTGCTGGATGAGAATGGGGACTGGGTTTTGACGCCGCCGACGGAGGAGGATTTTCCGGTGGTGCCGGAAGAATTATGAAGTTTGAGTGTATAGTTCGTTATGTTTGAGTTGTGTTATTTTTATGTAAAAATATAAATATTTTATATATAAAATAAAAAATTATATTTTATGTTGAATGTAGATTTTTTGGGAGAATAATAATATAAAATATATATTATATACTATATTAGAAATCATATTTGTAAAAATATTTAGAACTATGTAATAAAAAAAAAAATTAATATTTGATGTAATAATTATTTTTAGAAAAAATAATATTAATTAATAATTTCAAAACATAAGGAGAAAATATAGGTAAATTTGAGCTGAGTGTACAAGGCAAATTGCAAGGCATAGTATATTTTCTCTCATTAGTTCAGATAATTTAGATAACTAATGCTAACTTGCCCATGATTGTGTAACGGTTTGTTCGTCTATTCTTTTGTTTCATTTTTTATACTATTCAATCTATTATGATTATCTCTTAAAAATTAAATTCATACTATCTTTTATATATATAATAGTAAAATATTGTTTTGTTTTTTTTATTGAAATTGAATTTTTTTTTTATTTAACTTTTAGATCAAATGATATTTTTAATATTTTTTTTATATAATCTATTATGAGATAAAAAGAATATATATATACTTTTAATAAATAATGTGCCGAGTGAATAGTAATATTATTTTTTTTTTATTTCAAATAAAAAACTAAATACACCTTAAATTTTATAATTAATTTTACTAGAGCTTTCAAAGAGTCTCTAAGCAATTGTCTACCGTCCATCAGTTGGAACTTGGAAGCATTATATATATACGCACTGACTGCACAACGCCATGAGCAATTAGAGCATCTATATCCATCTGTCTATGACTATGGAGTTGGTGTTTCGAAGTTGACAGCAAATCGGAGTTTATTGTTGTCGGTGGGTAATCTGTATCCCCATATTTTGATGATAGTTCCAACTGTATTCGTCAAATTGTGTGCTCTGATCATGTCGATCCAGCCTTTTTTGAGAACTAGAATGGCAAGGCTCTTCCACTCGGTCATGCACAGGTTATGGGTAGTGCCGAGTGGATCAACGGTGGGAACATCGATCCCTGTCTCCAGCGCCATTTGCTCTTCTTGTGTAAGGAAGTTGACGACGTTGTTCTTGCGATCTATGAACAATCTATTCAGAGAGGCAGTTGTGTCGGATTTTGTCATCAACTTTTGGTATAAGAAGGTTGGACGATTCCCGCCTTGAGATGCGACGATTTGCGAGACTTGTTCGGGAATCTCGTTTGGAGAAGGAATCGGGAGCGCAGGCTTCTTAATCCTAGTTCTTCTTGTAGTAGTAGTAGTAGTAGTAGTAGAACTTGTAATTAAGTTTGGTGGAAGAGAGTTATGAGTTGCGAATCTTGATTTCATTGATTCGCTCTCCAATTGAGAGTTTGAATTAGAAGAAGAGCCGATTTCTATTTGGGGTCGACAACGCTTCTTCGACAGCTGCTGCTGCTCCTCCTCCTCCTCTTCTTGCATTACACCTTTGCCTTTCTCGGCTGCAGAATAATATCGATCATGGATTACCACTGTAGATAACTCTAACCCTAAGAATGGCGAAGGAGCTCCAGGTTGGCGAAGAGTAAGCGTGAGATCCAAATCATCAGATGGCTCATTGGATTCAGAAGCAGCAGCAGGATGCAGAAGATTACGAGGCGAAGGAGCTCCAGGTTGGTGAAGGGTAAGCGTGAGATCCAAATCATCAGATGGCTCATTGGATTCAGAAGAAGCAGCAGCAGGATGCAGAAGATTACGAACTGCAAAAGCTGGTGGTGGTGGAGGTGGTCGAGTGATGTCAACTCCGAATAGGATCACTGGAGGACGAGGAGGGTTTTCTGTATTGCTCGCCATTGCCATTGCCATTTTGGGATCCATCAATGATAATGTGCTGCGAGGAAATTAAACTGATCGATCAGTGAAATTACTACTAGGAATTGTGTGGATGGAAGGGGGCATCATATATATATATATATATATATATAGACAAACCAAATTATATCAATGGCCAATATACAAATCATATCTGATACAAAGGTTCAATATGATTTGGAGGGAAAATAATATATTATATTTTTAAGATTTTATTTTAACCGCGATTTCAAACTGACGACTACAGTTCAAAAACAAGCATAATCGAAACCGTCCTTTTTATTTAGTCATCCTGTGAACCGGCGGTTCAAACCGCCTATTTACTGTTTGAACCGCGGCTCGACCCTTAATTATAATTTTATTATTATTATTTTATCTTGAATCTTGCAGGTGAAATGAAGAAAAAGAATAAGAAGAGTGGAAGGAGCCAAGAGGTGGAAAGAAGAAGAAAGATGAGAACAGGTGCAACCGTGCGGCCTGCGGGCGGCTGTGGAGTGTGGATGTATAAATACTTTGATTAGGGCAAAATAAATGTATTTTATAATAATAATAATAATAATAATAATAATAATATAGTTGTAGTTAAACTTTTTTTATATTATGAATTTTTTATAAAAATAAGTTGCAGTTGTCCCTTTCTACTTTTTTTAAAATTTTAATTTAAAATAATAAAAATAAATATTCATATAAATATTCTAAAATTTCAAAATTAGATTTAATTATTTTTTTGAAAAAGACTAAAGTATCAAAATCATATTCAAATTAATTAATTAATTTCAGGGTGTGTTTGTTTGGGGGATTGGATTGGATTTACACTGTTCATCCAATTTGTTTTCCCTAAAAATATTAAATCAAACACCTATTTTTTATTTTTTATATTATACTAAAAATTAATTTTACATTCAAAACATTACATCAACACCTATTTATATCACATCATACAACTATTCAAATTCAAAATTTTTACTATTCAAATCTCAACTCAAAATCCAAACCCCAAAACAAACACCCAATTTGTCAAACTAAACTAGAAAAAAAATAAATAAAATTATTATACAACCTCCATCCTGTGCAAGGTTTACTTTTTGCAAGTAAATTTTTTAATATTAGTATTATAATAGATTGTAGTAAAAAAAGACAAAAATACCTCTATTAGTATTGTGTAATATAAAAGTAATGTCATTTGTATAATAATATAAGTTATAAGGGTATTTATTATGTTAGGTATGTAGTACAATTACTAAATAGGAAATGATAATCTTATGTTGGGACGGACGAAAATGAAAAATTACAACCTTTCCGTTGGACGAAAAAGTACAAATTTTTTAATAAAGTTGTGTAGGCAGAATAATTTAATCATCGTAGTCGTCTTCATATTCATCATCTTCTTCGTTGCTATAATATTTTATCCACTTCCAGTTTGACTCTCACTTCTCTTTCTACGAGCCTTTTGGAGATAACATAACTCTTACACAGTATAATAAAATTTTTAAATTTCTAAAAAGAAAAAAAAAAACATCACCTAAAAATAATAATAATAATAATAACTTTTTTACTGTATAAAGTTTTTTAAACAAAATATTACATCAACAAAAATATTTAAAATAAAAAAAAAAAATTAATTTTCAATAGTTACCTGTAATTTTTCTTTAATTTTCAAATGCCTCCCACACTTGAATATATTTTGCCTTGTTCTAGAAAAATAAAAATATTTTATACTCAAACAAAATTAAATAAAAATTTATAACAATAGTTACGATGCCATAACATAGAAAACGAATCAAATAGGCCAAAATATGTTCAATTACTAAGATTCAATTTCAATTCCAAATCAAGCCAATAAGCCTCGTAGAGTGCAGTCCAGTAGCATAAAGTGTCGAGTCGATCTCCAATCTTGAGGCGCGGTTACCTCGGGCATTCTTACACCATGAACTGAGCCGAAAATCATCGTCCCTATCTCCGGAAAGAAGATTGAAGGAATTTTGAAGTTAATCAGAAAAGAAAGTGTTGCCCGAAACTGCGTGATGTCGATTGTGCGATGCGTTGCTGGGTCCGTCGTTTTTCGTTCTCTCGAGAAGGTTGGTTTGTCGTCGGAAACCGCAGCTTACCGCTATAGTACAACCGCAGCTTTCCGCAGGGACGGAATTACACTAGGGCTTAGGGGCAATTGACCTCCAAACTTAATTTTTTATAATTTTTTTAGTGTTAAAAATATTAATTTTTATGTATTTATATACAATTTGCCTCCTCCAAAATATGTAAATTCATATATAATTCCGTCGTTATTTTGTATTTAAATTTATTAATTAAATATTAAACAAATTATAACATTTTGTCCCCCCGGTATTTAGACGCTAGTTTCTTCGCTGGCCGTCCGGGAGGTGTTCGCAGGTTTATTTGAATTCGACTATAATTCACAATGGTCTCCAGTTTCATTCCCAATATGAATTGCACAAATTGAACCAATTATCCCAAACAAGTAAATTAAAAATAGTATAATTAAATTGAAATTATTATATTATCTAATAGTATATTAATATTTTTATACTACTTCTGTTTTAAAAGAAGAGCAACATTTACTTCTTGTATCATATTGGTTTATAATGAAAAAATAAAAATGTTTTTCTATGAGATATAAAAGTAATGAAAAATAATATCATTCTAATGGGAAGGAGGAAATAATTTATTTTTAATTACTTTAATTCAAAAATAATTAAAATTATTATTTTTATATTGTAACAATCTAATTAATTATTTATTTATATAACTTTTATATATCTGAATCAAATTAAATCAAAATTAATTGTTCTAAAATAAAATTTGAATTTAGAAAAACTAGAAAATAAGAATGAAAAATATTATGAATGAATATACATGAATTGGTTGTTCGAATCGTAATCAGCGGTTTTAAAACAAAAAATGACGGTTTATAAATCGTAATCGAAATCGTCAAACCGAAACCGAAACCTTTATTCAAAAGGTTTGATTTCGATTTGATATTTTAACATACCGTAATCGGCAGTTTGAACCATTTGAGCAAATCTATGTATATCCTCTCGTGGAGCCCGAGTCAAAATTATATATATATATATACCATATATAATAATTTAATCATTTTTCTCATCTTGTTTTATTTTTTTTAAATATTTCTGAATATTTGAAAGTGTTTGAATAAAAAAAAATTATTCAGACTATAAAAATGACTAATTACTTAATTTTAAAAATTATACAAATATTAAATAATTTATTAGAAGTCATAATATATTTTACAAATAATAAAATTACAATATTAAAGTTTAAGTGTAAGAATAAAAAAATTCCAACTTACTAATCATTACTTGAAGAATAAGTTTTTGAAGTAAATTCATCGATCAAATTTTTGTAACGAATTTTATTTAAAATTTCATTCTAAATTAAATTTTCTTTTCAAAACATGATCGTAAATTCGACCATATCAAGAATCATATTATCGGATAAATAGCTCACCTATTCGACGTCTGATTTGAAATTTGCAATTCAATTCTGCATATTATTAAATAATGTAATATGAATAATAATATTTTACTAATTATCTCTTTTACTGAAAATTTTAATTTCGGTACGATATCGGAATATACCGTTTATACCGAAAATTTTGATTTCGGTACATTATCGGTATATACCGGTTATATCGAAAATTATAATTTTAAAATTTAAAATAATTAAAAAAATTAATAAATATCACCGATCTCCTCCACAAAAATATTATGAAAAAAAAATCAATAAATCTTCAATAGTCTACGTATTTTTTGTTATGATTTTTAAAAAATCAATAATTATTATTTATATTAATAATTTAATTATTTAATAAAAATAATAATTGTACGGTATCATACCGCAATATCGAACTTTTCGAAAATTCATACCGATACCGTACCGAAAACTTCAGTATGATATCCATACCGTACCGAAATTATCAGTATATTGAAATTTTTAGTATTTTTGACACGATACGGTACGATACGTCGGTATTTCCGTATATTCGGTAAATTTCTCCATCCCTGTATAATATACTCATATTTTGGTTATATACTGATACAAAAATTATTATTATTATTATTTTAAATAATAAAATTGTTTTTAATTTTGATAATTCACTATGAAATGATATATACCATACTATGCTGCTGCTATACATATCACTACTGTACAAAATATATTTGTTACGATTTTCAATTTTTCTATGCTTCTGTATTTTCTTTTTTAAAATCTAATGAAAATTTCAGAATAGTATGTTGTTACCAAAAAATTTATATTTTTAATTATATTTAAATAGAACAAATAAAAATGAATAGGTCCGAAAATTCAACTTAGGCATAATATAAAAAATCGGACTCAAGCAAAGTCAAGTCGAGCTAATTTTTTAAAATAATTTTAGTTATAATATTTTAAACTACATATTTTATAATTAATTAATATTAACTATATGTTTAGTTGAGAGTTCGAATTTTGAGTTTGAATCTTCAATATTAAGTTTTTTACTCTCAAATAATTATTTGATATAATATAAATAAATATTTATATAATATTTTAAATGTATAATTTATTTTTTAATATATAAAAAATAATAGGAGTTCAATGTGTGTTTGTTTTATGAAATTTTTAAAATTTTTTTTTATATATAAAGTATAGGAAATTATGTATAGAATATAAATATTGATATGATATTTTGAATATATGATTAATTTTTTAATATACTATAAAAAAAAAATAATAAAAGTTCAATATAAGGACAAATAGGTGAATAAAAAAAATCTAACCAAACATAAATTTTTAATTATATTTTAAATTAAATTTTAATACTGTCACAAATATATTTAAGTAAAAAACTATTTACATTAAAATTCATTAAGATCTATTTTATAAAAAAAAAAATGTCAATAATTTACTTTGTCAACCTAATTTTTAGGATATTAATTATTTTTTTTAATTTATATACAAGTATTGGTTCAATATAATTTCAAAGAATTATAGTAATTTTTAATAATTATACCGAAAAGAAAAAATGATAGGGACTAGGGAGTATGTAATTTAAAAAATAAATAAATAAATAAATAAAGTATTAATGATAATTCACCCCCTTAAAAATGATAGCTACAGAGCAAAAGCCCCGACTCGCGATCTTTCGTTTCCATAGACATTGAAGCAGATGGATGTTGGTGGACGGCGGTCTGTTCTGGTCCAAGCTCTGGCGCTCCTGCTTGATGCTTGCAGTTCTGTCTAAACTGCTTTACGAATTCCCATTCGATTCCGCCATCGGGTTCCTCCCTCAGTTCTGCAATTTTATGCTATCAGCCCGCCTGTGATTTTTTAGCACCGAATGAAATAATGAATCGGCGCTGATCTTGTAAAAGAGGAGGAGAAACTATGGCCACAGTTGATGTGATAAAATGCTGTCTCGATTCAATCCGACAAGTAAGTTATTGCTTCGCCCCCGGTGTGAAATCGCAATATCTGTCTTGATTCAAATTGACCTGTTTATTGTTGGTTTATCATTATATGCAATTCGTAGAGGAAAGTTTGGTTAACTGCAATTGCTGAATCACTGACGATTTTAGGGAGAATAGATTGTTTTCGGGCTAATCCACATTTTTGTTTTAATTTCAGATTTCGGATAGCATTAAAGATGCTACTGTATACTTGGATGCTGGAAGTACCGAGAGCTTCCAGTTTCTTGGGGCGTTTCCCTTGTTCCTGGAGCTAGGTGCTCGATCTGTTTGTAGCTTGGAGAACATGTTGGCTCTTGATAAGGTCAGACCTATTGTTACCATAGCCATCCTGTTTTTAATCCATTGATATTGTTTCACTATATAAAATAAACACAATGATTACGGATGCAAGACTGTGGAATGAGGATGGTAAATTTCGTGTAGACATTTGGATAGCTGATTCTGATTTATGTGGAGAGTACCTCTCTTAATGATATGGTGTAAACTGTAATCATTTCTACCTAGAAGTTATCATCGACAATTGATTAGTGAGATTATGCAAAAATGCTACATGAATATACTTAAATGAAGTATTACCCACCTCAATCTATTTCTCTATTTCTCTTTATGACGACATCTATTAACTAGAAATTTGACTAATGGAAATATATCAGCGAAAAAACCCATCACAGAACTGGAAAAAATAGGATATTGGGATCACTAGTTAGATTATCCTTATAACAGTAGTGCCTTTTTTTGTAAGTGTTGAAGTTACGATGACTATATAGAATAATGCACGCATGACCTGTTTCTTATTCTACGACGATGGATTGTAAAAATTCTTACTCTCTATCTTTTTTAGGTTGTTGACTGGAAGACTAACCCAAGTCCTGTGAGGAAGATTGTGATCATCACTTCATGTCTTTTGAGTGGTACACATCGTTATATCTTGCGTTGCCTGAGCATGCTACGGAGTGTTCGCTATTGTGCTATATATACGTCCATTTCTGAGGTGTTTATTTAGATAAGTGTTGAAAGTTTTCTCTGTTTTTTGATTATCTGAATATTATCTGAGCTGCTCCTTTTCATTGTGTTTGTTGTATTAAATTTTTGCATTTTGATATGATTAATTTATTTATACTTGTTTGTGAGAATGTGCTTTTTACATTCTTATCATGCTCTGCTTGAATTTATTGATCTGTACATAGTATGCTATGTTCTTCAAAACGATGTTCATGGTTTGGTTCACGAATTGGAGGATAAGGTTTCATTTGGATCAGGTGATTTTAGTGTACAATCCTAGATTTGATTTGAAGTATTGAAAAAAGCATATTAACTGTAAGAAGGCTATTAACTCATTTAAACTGCAACCTCTAAAGCATATAATTGAAAACGGGTATCTATATACAAGTTAATTGTAATATCTCAAACTTGGAAAGAGTTTTAGGGGATTAGTAAAACTTACCAATGTGAATAAGGTGTACGGTGTACCTTCTTTTCTGTGAGCCCACAAGTAACAACTTGAGAGTTAAGCTTGCAGTAGAGTATTTTGAGGATGGAGGATCTATCAGGAAGTTTTCTAGGGTGTGTGCTAGAGAGTACTTAAGAGCGCTGAAAGGGCTTGTGTTAATCTGTGTAGCCGACCTCTGATCATGTAATAAACTCGGGGGGTGTTTGAGTGTTTCATTCAGCTTCTTAGGGGGAGAGAGTAATACCCAGAATCGGAATGAACTTAAGAGTTGAGGATGTTTTGACATCTGCATGTGCTTCTATCCTCCATATGTGCAGAGTTACAAACTGTACCTATATTGAAGTCTTATGTCATTTTGATGGTTCATATATGAGCTATATTCTCCACCTTGCTTCTGTGAAAGCTTTTGTAAGAGCTTTCTCTCTTTCTCTCTCCTTTTTTGGAAGAGTTCGGTAATAGTGGTGCTATGTCTATTATCATTTGGATAATGTGAGTGAATCATTGGCTTCATACGCATCTCAGCTGCAATTGTAACATCACTGCATTTATAACTTGTGTACTGTGTGAGAAAAAGTCGAGCTTCTAAGATTTATGAGCCTATCTTTCTTTCAGATTTATTTATTTATTCTGTCTAGATTTATCCTCTGGGTCCTTCCATCATTGTTGCTGCATTTGTTTCCTATAAAGGGAAAAGAATCATCTAAACTCTAGCATTAACATATTTTTACGCGATACTGTTTTATTCAACATTTATTTTATTTTCTTTGGTATATTGCTATATACTTCTTTCTTAAAGTTCTAGATTTACACTTGGTTTTGCTGCTGGAATGAGTAAAATAACTATACATCTGTTAATTGAATAGCGGATACAATGTATTATGATTTCCTAGAAAGGGCGAAAGCAACTACATGGCATTGACCTTTTGAAGTTTCCTATAGTTTTACAGTCAGAAAAATTTATGGACATGCGATGCACTTTTTTCGTTGTGGGCCATCTCAACTATTTATTACAATCTTTTGAGATTGTTATTTATTGTCTGTTAAAATAGGTTTGTCAATGTTAGAGCATTATGTGAGTGTAGTATCTGCAGCGGTGAACTCTCTCATTCCGAACATTTGGGCCATTGGGTCTATACTTATATTGTGTGTCGAGTGAAGTGGCTCTATGTAATAGAATATGGGATTGTTTACTGGTAAATATGTCTCTTGGTCAATATGCATTGAACAAATGCTTTTATGTGAGAATGCAGTGCCTTCTGAGCTTTCATCCCCTTTTGTAGGATGATTATGTATCATTTCTGTAATAAATTCACTTCTGAAGCATTCGGCTCGCTATTAACTTTTTTTTGGCATATATTATTGATGATAGTTAATGAAATATCAATATGCCATGTTCAGAACATGTTTATGCTAATAGCTAATTACTGCTGACTAAGCGCAGGTGGCGCACTCCACATATCCTGATTCTCCTCTGGGACCAGATGCTTTTTATGAATATGAAACATTACTCAACCAAGATTACGAGGAGCTTGTTCGGAAACATGAATCAGATCCCAGTATGTCTGGTGACGGTATGCTTGACCAAAGTACTGAAGAGGAAGGGTGGTCACAGCTAACTTCCATGGAAGATGATGCTGATGAAATTTCAGGTGTAAGACTTCCTCAAGAAGATTACTCCCCTGATCACTCTGATGATGTAGGTCAAAAACTGAAAATTTCAGTGCATCACTTCCCTTTGATTTTGTGTCCCCTTTCGCCTAGAGTATTTGTATTACCTTCCGAAGGTTCTGTTGCTGAAGCAAGCTTATCCACCGAGCATGAGAGTTCTATAAGCTATGGTTTGCCTCCATTAAGCACTGGCCACCTTATGGACACAGAGGACGTAACACCTGGAGCAACTCTAACAGCCCAGTTTCTCTATCATTTTGCCTTGAAGGTGATGAAGCTTTTCCATATGTTGATTTTCTTTCATAGAAACTACATTAGATATTTTTGGACAAAAAATTATCCTCTTTCTTATTATCCTTTGTCTTAGGTAGCATTGTTTGCGTAACTTAACTCATCTCACTGAGGATATAAATTCTTAATTTACCTTGATCTTCTATGCCGAGCGGCCTAATGGAAAATGTATAGCTGTAGATAATGACACCCTTCTTGGGGTCGTTTACTATTAAGGACTATATAATCGACATAAAATCATTTAGTCCTTACGACTAAACAACCCCTAAGGGTATTGCCCTAGTAATGTGGATTAAGAGAGCTTCGCTCTTAACCTTTGGCAGTTCAAGTTAGTGGAAAGTGTCAGAAATTTCCATGTGTATTTTCGAGCACAAACAATTACCTTGACTCTGTAACTTTCTTCACCATTGAGGTGTTATTATGATAGTACATATCTGTCTCTATATTCTATATGGAGCTATGTATGAACTTTCTATTAACTTTATTGTGTGCACGTGCAACGTTAAAATTCTTATAACATTTCAGGATGCTTTATTGATTTATCTAATACTTGCAGATGGATTTGAAGCTAGAAATATTTTCTCTGGGCGATCTATCCAAAAATGTAGGAAAGCTCTTGACAGACATGTCTAGTCTTTATGATGTTGGTCGCCGTAAAAGATCCGCTGGACTACTGCTTATTGATCGGACGCTTGATCTTCTTACACCATGCTGCCATGGGGACTCACTCATTGATAGGATGTTTACATCCCTGCCCCGCAGGCAACGCATACCATCATTTAGCCAGGTGAAAGGAGGTAAAAGCCAACTGAAGAATTGCCCTGTTAAACTAGAACGCTCTCCTTTAGCTGTGGAGATTCCACTTCAAAAGTTCATCAAAGATGAAGATTCAAAAAATAATTCTCAGCTCTTGGAGAGCATAGAATCATTTTTGTATGGATGGTATTCAGTTGACTTGGATTCTAAAGACATGGAGTCTATGAAACACAGTAAGAAACTGAATGACGAAACCCAGTTTCAGCGTGATCGCAATGAACTTCTTCACGGAGCCTTTGTATCTACTGATAATTTCCGCGGAGCACCTTATCTGGAGGCATTACTTGACCGGAGGACTAAGGATGGAGCCATGTTGATCAAGAAATGGCTGCAAGAATGTCTGCGTCGGGAGAATATATCTTCTGATCTGAAAATCCATCCTGGTTTTTCTAAGTCAGATTTAGAGTCTTTTGTTAGGGCACTAGCCATGAGGCAGCCTTGCTTGCTAAAGAACAGAGGAATCGTTCAGTTAGCTGCGGCCACATTGCATGCTTTTGATGAGTTACATTCTGCCAGTTGGGATGCATTTAGTAGTGCCGAAAAGATTCTACGCGTAAATGCTGCTGACACAAGCCAAAGCCTCGCTGCTCAAATCAGTGACCTTATCAATAAGACGACTCTGGTGGCATCACAAGTTCAAAAAGATATGAAGAAATCTGCGGGGCTTTTCAGTCTTCACGACGCTCTTCTAATGACAGTTATTGCATATGTCTTAGCCGGCGAGAATTTTCCAACGTCTGGCTCTGATGGTCCATTTTCATGGCAAGAGGAGCATTTCATGAAGGATGCTATTGTGGATGCGATTATTGAGAATCCCACTATTTCGAATCTAAAGTTTCTCCACGGCTTGTCAGAAGAACTCAAAAGCAAGTTAAACAAAACAGAATCTGATGAGATGAAGAAAGACACTTCTGATCCATTGCCAGATGTTGAATTCGATGATGATCAGTGGGGTGCTTGGGGCGATGACGACGAGGATAAAGAAACGACCAATGAGCAGCAGTATGATAATATGCAGTTGAAGTTAGAGCTGAAAGACAGAGTAGACCATTTTTTCAAATTCCTCCATAAATTATCAAGAGTGAGAAGCAATTCCACGCTGCGAGAGGGGTTGTTCGCCTTGGAAAGCAGACATACTGACGATCCTTACACGAGTAAAGGGTTGCTTCATAAACTTCTAACAAGTATCTTAGACAAGCAAGATGTACCTGGGCTGGAGTATCATTCCTCTACGGTAGGACGCCTTTTTAAAAGTGGTTTTGGAAGATTTGGCCTTGGACAGGTACCCCCTGCTCGAACAATACTTATTTATCATCTTATACGTTTTGCGGAGACTGATTCTTCAGTTTGCTTCCTGTAGGCTAAACCGAGCCTTGGCGACCAGAATGTTATCCTGGTTTTTGTAATCGGAGGAATTAATGGAGTCGAGGTTTGGTTTCTTTTTTCCTAGTCAAATAATTTCACGTCAGTTTCTTGATGGGGTGTTTGAATTTTTTGCTTCCAATTAATTCGTCGTGTTGCGATTGCATTGCAAGGTGCGGGAAGCACACGAGGCATTAACTGGGAGCAACAGGTCTGATATCGAACTCATACTCGGGGGAACCACTTTTCTCACGCCGGACGACATGCGCGAGCTGCTTTTGGGCGATTATAGCCATGCTTAAATTGGAGAACAATTTAGTGACAGGTATATGGAGGCAATGACAGTTATTGAAGCCATAGTTGATCTGCAATTTCCCTCCAAGCAAGTTTCTCCATTGTAGCTGTTTTAAGTTATGCTATACACTGTGCTGACACATTGTGTTTACTTGTAAGATTATAGGTTTTAGTTTTGATTTTGAATCGTAAAATTTTGAATTGAAATAGTTGTTTGACTTGATATAAATATGTATTGATGTGATATTCTGAATTTGAAATTAAATTTTAGTATAATAAAATAAAAAAAAATGAAATATTTAATTTAATATTTTTTTTTAAGAAAAAAAAAATTAAATAGTAAAATAAAGTATAAAATCTCATAACTAAACACACCTCACAGACAGGCATTTGTTGAATTTTACTCCCCGTCTCATGTATTATGGGTCTATTATTGTAGATACGAAAATTGAGAATTTAGGTAAAATGTGATTAGTAAATAATTAAGAAGTGTATTAGTAAAAATAATTATCTTATAATAAAAATAATTGTGGATTAAGATTAAGATTTAAGATTAAAAAAATTATAAAATTTAAAATTTAAAATGAGATTAAAGTGTATAATTATATTTTTTTTTAAAAAAAAGAATGAACAAATTATGTAGGAGCAGACGAAAATAGAAAATAGGAACAAGTCATAATTTTTGTAGGAACAACTCTTTGATTAGACATTTGGCTGAATGAATTCTTTCTTGTTGGCTGAAGTATGTGTACAATTATCAAAATTGGTTGTTTCAACACTTTCGTATACTTCATTTTTAGTTCCTTTCTCCTCCTTTTAATTTATTATTATTCTTTCAAAAGATATATTATTTTGTAAATTTCGTGTAGTTGCATTCAGTATTGCTCAAAGAAAAATACATAAACTGACTAAACAGTTCTTGAAATAATGTTTACTTGTGAGATTTATTTTTTCTGTTTGTTCAAAATAGCGCTGTCAATACATATTTATATGTTACTATTTCAATTCAAAATTTTACCATTCAAAAGAGTAAACACAAGTTTGGATTTAAAATGATATAAATAAAATTTAAATAAAATACTAAAAATATCATATATAATTAATTTAGAAATTGTAACGCAAATTTCACTTCCCCTTCAAATTTCAGATAAATGGACATATTGAATAAATTAGGTTTAAACTCCATTTGCCACTTGTCAACAATTTTTAGATATACAGCCGTAAAAAGAGAGGGAGCTAGAATCTATCTGAAAACGGCAATGGCGACAGAGAAATCGTCCAGAGAAGCCTCCTTCGCCCTCCAGTGATGCTGTTCAGAGTTGACATAAGTCGACCACCACCACCACTGGTTCGTAATCTGTTACATCCTCCTGCTGCTGCTGCTTCTTCTTCTTCTGACTCCCCGATGAAGGAGATGATCATCCATAATTTCGACGACCACTCTACTTCTGTTTATTTGCTGCCGCCTCCTCGTCAAGATTCCAATTCTGATTCTAATTATAAACTCAACAAATTATCTGATGATCTTGATCTCACGCTTTCCCTTCACCCACCTGGAGCTCGTTCGTCATTCATCGGGTTATCTACAGTAGTAATCCACGATCAAAATTATTCTGCAGCTGAGAAAAGCAAAGGCGTAATGCAGGAGGAGGAGGAGCAGCAACGGCCAAAGAAGCGCCGTCGACCCCAAATCGAAGGCTCTTCTTCTAATTCAAACCCTAATCCAAATCCTACTCCCATAGTCTTGACGTTGCTGCCCCCCGAAAAGCCTATTGAAGCTGCTGCGGCTGCACCTCATGATCAAAGTCAATTAGAGAGCAAATCAATATCCGATCCCATGAAATCAAGATTCACCGCTGACAACACTCTTCCTCCTGCATCAGAGTTAATTAGAAACACTACTACTGCAAGAAGAATTAGGGTTAAGAAACCCAAGTTACCGCTCCCGATTCCTTCTCCAAATGAGATTCCCGAACAAGTCTCGCAAATCATCACGTGGGAATCGTCCAACCTTCTTGTACCAAAAGATGATGACAAAATCCGACACAAATGCCTCTCTCAATAGATTGTTCGTGAATCACGACAACAACGTCGTCAACTTTCTTACACAAGAAGAGAAATTTATGATGACGTTTTCTCTTCCTGTGTAATAAAGTTGATGACGTTGTTCTTGCGATCTATGAACAATCTATTGAGAGAGGCATTTGTGTCGGATTTTGTCATCATCTTTTGGTACAAGAAGGTTGGACGATTCCCACGTGATGATTTGCGAGACTTGTTCGGGAATCTCATTTGGAGAAGGAATCGGGAGCGGTAACTTGGGTTTCTTAACCCTAATTCTTCTTGCAGTAGTAGTGTTTCTAATTAACTCTGATGCAGGAGGAAGAGTGTTGTCAGCTGTGAATCTTGATTTCATGGGATCGGATATTGATTTGCTCTCTAATTGACTTTGATCATGAGGTGCAGCCGCAGCAGCTTCAATAGGCTTTTTGGGGGCACCCAACCCAAAAGCATCTCATCTCGCGCATGTCGTCGGGTGTGAGAGAAGTATCAGACCTGTTGCTCCCAGTTAATGCCTCGTGTGCTTCCCGCACCTTGCATTGCAATCGGAAGTGGAAGTGAAAATTTCAAACACCCGATCAAGAAAGTGACGTGAAATTGAAAAAAGAAACCAAACCTCGACTCCATTAATGCCTCCGATTACAAAAACCAGACACCAGACATAGTGGAATCTGATTCATGTTGCCGAACAAGCTCCTCGTAATCATGGTTGAGTAATGTTTCATATTCATATTCATAAAAAGCATCTGGTCCCAGAGGAGAATCAGGATATGTGGAGTGTGCCCCCAGCGCTTAGTCAGCAGTAATTACTCTCTCCCCCTAAGAAGCTGAATGAAATACTCAAAACACCCCCCCGAGTTTATTACATGATCAAACTTCCTGATAGATCCTCCATCCTCAAAATACTCTACTGCAAGCTTAACTCTCAAGTTGTTATTCACATTGGTAAGTCTTACTAATCCCCTAAAACTCTTTCCAAGTTTGAGATATTACAATTAACTTGTATATAGATACCTGAGGTTGCAGTTTAAATGAGTTCATATGCTTTTTTCAATACTTCAAATCAAATCTAGGATTGTACACTAAAATCACCTGATCCAAATGAAATCTTATCCTCCAATTCCTGAACCAAACCATGAACATCGTTTTGAAGAACAAGGGAAACGCCCCAAGAAACTGGAAGCTCTCGGTACTTCCAGCATCCAAGTATACAGTGGCATCTTTAATGCTATCCGAAATCTGAAATTCAAAAAACGAAATGTGGATTAGCCCGAAAACAATCGATTTTCCCTAAAATCGTCAGCGATTCAGAAATTCCAGTTAACCAAACCTTCCTCCACGAATTGCATAAAATGATAAACAAACAATAAACAGGTCAATTTGAACCAAGACAGAATATTGCGATTTCACACCGGGGGCGAAGCAATAACTTACTTGTCGGATTGAATCGAGACAGCATTTTATCACATCAACTGTGGCCATAGTTTCTCCTCCTCTTTCACAAGATCAGCGCCGATTCATTATTTCATTCAGTGCTAAGAAATCACAGGCGGGCTGATAGCATAAAAGTTGCAGAATTGAGGGAGGAACCCGATGGCGGAATCGAATGGGAATTCGTAAAGCAGTTTAAACAGAAGTGCAAGCATCAAGCAGGAGCCCCAGAGCTTGGACCAGAACAGACCGCCGGTTCACATGATGACTAAATCACAAAGGACGGTTTCGATTCTGTTTGTTGTCCGATTTTGGTTTCGAACTGTAATCGTCAGTTTGAAACTGAAAAACCGCGATTTCAAACTGCATTGGCAACTATAGATACGCATGGATAAAATTATTAAATGAAATAAGACTACGATCGAATGTGTTATAAATAAAATCTTAAAAATATAATATATTATTTTCCCTCCAAATCATATTGAATCTTTGTATCAGATATGATTTGTATATTGGCCATTGATATAATTTGGTTTGTCTATATATATATATATATATATATATATGATGCCCCCTTCCATCCACACAATTCCTAGTAGTAATTTCACTGATCGATCAGTTTAATTTCCTCGCAGCACATTATCATTGATGGATCCCAAAATGGCAATGGCAATGGCGAGCAATACAGAAAACCCTCCTCGTCCTCCAGTGATCCTATTCGGAGTTGACATCACTCGACCACCTCCACCACCACCAGCTTTTGCAGTTCGTAATCTTCTGCATCCTGCTGCTGCTGCTGCTGCTGAATCCAATGAGCCATCTGATGATTTGGATCTCACGCTTACCCTTCGCCAACCTGGAGCTCCTTCGCCTCGTAATCTTCTGCATCCTGCTGCTGCTGCTTCTGAATCCAATGAGCCATCTGATGATTTGGATCTCACGCTTACCCTTCGCCAACCTGGAGCTCCTTCGCCATTCTTAGGGTTAGAGTTATCTACAGTGGTAATCCATGATCGATATTATTCTGCAGCCGAGAAAGGCAAAGGTGTAATGCAAGAAGAGGAGGAGGAGGAGCAGCAGCAGCTGTCGAAGAAGCGTTGTCGACCCCAAATAGAAATCGGCTCTTCTTCTAATTCAAACTCTCAATTGGAGAGCGAATCAATGAAATCAAGATTCGCAACTCATAACTCTCCTCCACCAAACTTAATTACAAGTTCTACTACTACTACTACAAGAAGAACTAGGATTAAGAAGCCTGCGCTCCCGATTCCTTCTCCAAACGAGATTCCCGAACAAGTCTCGCAAATCGTCGCATCTCAAGGCGGGAATCGTCCAACCTTCTTATACCAAAAGTTGATGACAAAATCCGACACAACTGCCTCTCTGAATAGATTGTTCATAGATCGCAAGAACAACGTCGTCAACTTCCTTACACAAGAAGAGCAAATGGCGCTGGAGACAGGGATCGATGTTCCCACCGTTGATCCACTCGGCACTACCCATAACCTGTGCATGACCGAGTGGAAGAGCCTTGCCATTCTAGTTCTCAAAAAAGGCTGGATCGACATGATCAGAGCACACAATTTGACGAATACAGTTGGAACTATCATCAAAATATGGGGATACAGATTACCCACCGACAACAATAAACTCCGATTTGCTGTCAACTTCGAAACACCAACTCCATAGTCATAGATAGATAGAGGTATTATTGCATCTTCATCAAAGCCCGCGTCGGAGCTTCTTGCAATGCC